AGTCATAACATATCATTTTGGGAGTTGGACAATTACTTCATCGTTTTGAGGTGTGTTTTGGTCGGCAATGACATGCCAGTAATTCAGAGGGGAGGTCAATTGGCAAGATCAACTTTTACTTTTGCTCTTTTGTATGCATCCCAGATCTATTACTGCTAAAGTTCCTTGAATGCTTCTTTCTCAATTCTAAGGGCTATTTCATTTAGCTAAGCTCATTTCAAACAATAAATATCATTTGAATAGGTTTGAAAATGAAATGAAAGTGCTTAATAAATCAAATGTTTTTCTTCCTAAGAAGTTAGTTAAAACATCCTGAAGAAATCAATACAATAGCACAGAACAACAGAATCCAGGCCTGAGATTGGTCTACTTTGAACTCCCTGCCGTTTACGTTTTCTAGATTTTTCCAGAACATCTCAGTCCCCAGATTTTGTGGAATGGCCTTTCACACATACAATGTACCTCACAGCTGGAGACTGTCAGTCCCCCTCAGACTGTGAGACTTTGAGGGGGAAATGGGTGTGTGTGTCTGTTTCTTGTTACATAATACTACAACATGAAGACATTTTCCCAATCCTAACACAATAGTTAAAAACTAAATGAGGTGAGCAGCCTATATTGCATTGCATTCATGCGTGCACCGCATCTACACATTATCCAGAAGTTTATCACATTCCATTCAATGAAACACAACTGTTCAGCTCACTGTCTCTTGCACAGGTTTTGTGAATGAAAAGTGACATCTTAGAGAAGTTAATGGGCCCGGGTGTTAAATCACCCAACCCCCTCAACACCCAGTCTGACACCCTCCCCCTAACTCAGACGATTCACAGACAGACGTCAACAGCAGGCAAAGAACTCTTCATTTACCAACCTGAGGTAAATGAAGCACCTTTGGCTTTTCACACTCAGGCGGGAAGCTTTAGCTGATTTAGACGCCGCACAACAGCAGAGGGTGATCTGAATATTTATGTCACAAGTCGGCTCTGAATTTGAATTTTTACAAATTATTTTTGTGGGAATAAAGTATCAGTGCATCACTCCAACTGGTTGCCATGACACCCAGAGTCACAGACTTTGACTACAAGTGGCTGGTAAAGTATGTCCAAGTAAGATAGGACTACAATTTGAATCCACAGTCAAGAAGACCTAGGCTTGGCATTCCAGCATTGAGGCCTGAGCTGAGAAAAGTTGCCTTGTCAAGCCCTATGGTATGGTCCTGCTTGTTGGCTGGCTGCTGAGCTCTGCGATTGGACAGTCTGAGAGCTGCAGTGCATTGTGGGGCGGTCTTAGTATTACCACCATGATCCCGTTTCATACTTTAAAATTCTGTCTGATCTAGTGTACATCCGGGTATTTCCCCCATACACATGATAGCATACTATGATTTTGAATCACACTACTTTAGTATGAAAGTATGCGGACACAGCCAGACTCTACCAACGTGCCTTCATGTGCAACATATATGTATGAATGATAAATGAGAGACATGACTGACACATCAGCCTGTACACTCGATAAAACACTAGATTATCCAATAATTACTGCTCATGTTGAGAAATGCTTTTTATTGTAAGGTAATCAGCTGAGTGGTGTTACCACTGATGTCAATTTGCAGTGTTAACTCACTGCACTGCATTACACTGCAGTGTCTAGGCCACGAGGGATCAGACATGAACGGTCAATAAAGAGAAAAAGCTTTCTCAGCAAAGAGCCCCACCTTACACTGAGACCAGTGCTGACGTGAGAACGCCTTGGAAACTGATAACATAAGACACTATCCCTGATATGTAAAGGGAATGCTTAGTCATAGGGAATTCTGGCTAATTGTTTAAAAAGAAGATGCTGCAGTTTGGCTCTGCTTTTCTTGCACTTAGCGAAAGGACAAAGACATGATTCAGCAGAATGACATCTCGTTTTGACGCCACACTCATGAAATAAACATGTATAATGTTGTGATTTTGCATGCATCATATATAAGTGATTCTTCTTCTGACATTTATATAAGTCTGTTTTAAGAACAAAACAGGAAGGTGTGGAAATTGTAGTTCCATGACAACAAGCACTGAACAACCAACCTTGGCACTATTCACACAATTAGATTACACGTGACATTTAAAAGGATGCTCTGCAGTAATATGTCAATTGAAAATTTAAAGACGATAAATAAAATAGTAAGACTTAAGAGATGTGAGTCTTCTCAGCTGCCATGAAGCCACAAACTGGTCTTGATTGACATCTTCATCATCACTCTCCAATTATACTTTTGACATCTGTCATATCAGCTCATACACAGTACACTATAGTGACCTCCAATCATCACCAACAGATTAAACTTGACAGAATGATCTAATGTATCAGAGTATGGTTAACACCAGTGTTCACAGTCCAAAGTAAAAGAACAATGCATGCTGTAAACCTGATCTTTATTCTTGTGTAACTCATAACCCATAATCCTGAATGTGGCAAACTGGTTGTATGTCAACTGGTGAAAACATGGACAACTTCTCAGCTCTGTACATTTCGTACTACACTTTACTTTTGGTGCACGCTATCCCTCTAGCTCAGTGGTTCTCAACTGGTGGGACGGGGACCCAAAAGTGGGTAGCAGATCTGTTTTCAGTGGGTTGTGAATGTGTGTCTGGAAAATAATGGGTTTTTTTTGCAAAAAAGTCTATGAATCGCTTGAAAAACACATTTGTTTTGTTCTATCACATTTTGTAACATCTGAGGTCCACACTGAACTATTTTTAATAAAAAATTAGGTGGTTTTGATTCAGTTTCTCATTTAAGAGGTGGCGGTGGTCTTAACTCTACACCAGTTGAGAACAACTGCTTTAGCTTAGGGTGATATCTGAAGGCAGATAACGTCGCAATTCCAGCATGTAAATGTACTGAGTGAGATAAGAAAAGAACACATTTATTTGGCCCTCTGCATGTTTGGGGTCAGAGGGTTCAGCCAGCAACTGGTCAATATGTACAATTCATAAACAAATGGCCTCTTTATCCACCAATGCTGCTGTGAAAATAGAATTAAAACAATAATTAATGGTCTGATTGCCCAAGTAATTGATATTAGACATGGAGACTCTGCCATAATGGATTTATAGATGTTAAGCCTAATGTGAGAAAAAGTTCTATAAAATCCTCAGACTTGACCGACAAATGGCATTTGTCAAGCTCATTGTCATACATGATCACATTTGACATCTGGGTGTCATTTATCATGAGTATGCTGCATTCATGTTGCATGGGAATAATCGCAATCACTCAGACTGCATTAAGCGTTTTAATCTCTCTCATCACTTTGTTTATTCTGAACATTTGCTTTCCTTTCTGCTACAGAGGCATATTTGGATTATAAAATGTTAGGGTGTTGAAGTGCAGACACCACAGAGGTCAGACTGAACCACACAAATTGTTGGTATGCTTTTTCCACATTTGAGACTTTAATTTTGATAGTTTTTTTTTAAATCACAAAAGGGAAGTATCTGAAGACAACAGAGGGTGTTAAAACAAGCAACTTCTGCAGATGACACCAGTGCAGTGTGATAATCTCTTCATTTACATCATAAAGGTCTGCCTTCACATCTGCTAATTTCATCCAGGTAACAGTATAGCCTGCTGAGCTGGTTCACAGATCATTCCAGTAAGACTTTATTGATCCGTGAGTAAGAAGCATACCTTGAAATAGCACAACAACACAAGAAACCATTTTATCTTTAGGAGTTCAAGTCACACAAAGTCTGGTATTTAGCCCTCATCCCTGTGGGACATCATCAGGGTGTAGTCTGTAGAGCACTCTTTCAGATGCATTACATAACACTCCAGGAAGAATCTCTTCAGAGGGAAAAACTTTCAACAACGACAAAGCTTCAAATGAACCTGTCTACAAGCTTGTAATAATAGAAAGACTTAGTAATAAGCTCCTGACATTGTTGGCCTATGTGAATGAATAACCTGGCAGCATTAGGCCTACATTTCATTGTGTAAAAGAAAGGTGCACAGCGCTCACTATCGCCCTCTATAGTGTAACTTAGGAAATAATGATGACAACTCTATCACCTAAAACCTGTCAAAATAACATGAACTTTGAGTGTAACGAGCACACAGAATTATAAAGTATGACTAGATGTATATTATGATAAAAAGTGATAAGGAATTAATTCATGTCTGGGCCTTTGGAAAAGCGAGCAACAATAAAATAGAGAAAATGCCAATGGAGTTCGTCTGATAAAGATAGGCCAATTGGTAGGCGTACGTCATACCTGCGAGAAGAAGGCGGTTTTCAGGGTAAACTTCTCTTATCCCTCCTGCAGAAATGAACGTAGCTGTCTAAAGGACATGTGTGACACTGATGTGAAACACACCTTAAGAGTATTCCCCCCCAGCCTCACACCAGCATCACAGTTTGGGCGGGTGATGGTGAACACTGCGTTACCTGAGGCCATGGTGCGGCAGACTTTTTTTTTTTTTTTTTGCTGCATTGAGTCACAACTCCGGTGGGACGGGACCACGTGACCAAACTCTGCACCGTTATGGAGGACCCTAACTGGGCACTACATGTTCTCCCAGCAAAACCGGAAAGAAAAAAAAAAAACAACCTGACACATCGACACCAGCCTCGCAGTCTGAAATAAACACCAGTGTGATAAACTTTGCACGAATCGCCATGTTCGTCTGCAGAGTGCTGCTCTGTGCAGGGCGGTAGGCGAGGTCCTGTAGACACTGCGGTTGCCCTTGGAAAAGCCACGGCACTGCTTCAGAGCCCATGCAGCCTCCTTCAGCTGCATACGAGGTGGCAGACACACTTCACATAGGGTTTAAACACAGAACATTTTCGATTGAACCGCATTTCCCTTTGCCGCAACTCTCTGAAATCCTACCACAGTGCACGTCCTAAAACGAGCACACCGAAACGGGCTGTGTGCATTAATTGATGTCTGAAATGACCAGCGCTAAAAACTACAGAAAACTGTGAAACATACAAGCGTGTTTACCTGATATTATCTTCTCTGTCGCCGTTTCTTTCTCAGTCATCATTTCCCGCAGTTTCACCTCTTCCCTTGCCTTCTCTCCGATACAGCTGCACCAAGCAATTTTCCTGGATTACTGAGGTTACCGGGCCAAAGGAGAAGAAAACATCAACAAAACAGCATCCACGCTGCTTTTTTCGGTGTCTCTTTCAACTTTTACTTCGTCTCACCGCTTCCTGCTGAATGAGAAAGCCGTTAAATAAGCACATGAAAAAGATATGGGGTCCGGTGGGTTTTGAAGAAGGCAAATGGGGGGACACGAGCCTCAGCAGAGAGGATGTTGGACCCCAGACTGCTGCTGCTTCTCAGTCCGCCCCTCCCAATCACATTCACGGCTGTCCTGGCCAGGAATGCTGCTGCAGCCCAGTCTGCTTCAGAACTGCTCAGGACAGTCGGGAGGGATCCTGTAGCATTACCCCTATCAGCGAGACATGAAGGGTGTCCAGATTTCCAAATGCCCATATCTATTGGACAAACTTCATGAATACATTTACCGAGCAGGCTATTTGAAAATTGATGGAAAATAGATTTAAAGTTTGACCAGGGGATCACTTTTAGAGCCACAACTCTGCGGCAGTAACGAAATTGAAGTACAAGAGAAAAAAAAAACAAATACTTGATGAGGATGCCCAAACATTCTCACTGAGAATTATATCACATATTTTGTGAAGGGAAAATGGGGATATAGGCTACTGGGCCAAGCATTGCTCCAGTGTGGCGTAACATACAATTTAGACCTCTGTACATGGACATCCTCATGTGGGCCCCTCCTTAGATTCATGGCAAACTAATAGCATTTTTTTCTTGAGCTGTTTTCACACTTTCTGGAGGACCCTTATAAACCTCGAGTTGGTTTTTCGCACATATCCCTGTTGGACGAAGAGGCGGGGATGGTCTCAGGAAGCAGGACATGACGTAAAAAGAGAGACATGGAAGTAGCTTATAATGCAACAGTGTCTCTATAGAAACTTATTTATACTGACTTTTTTTTTTTAAATTGTTATATTTTTGGGCATTTTATTGGATAGGACAGCTGAAGAGCGAAGGGCAGCAAAGGGCAGAGGTCTGATTCAAACCCACGACCACTGTGACGAGATCTAATAGCCTCTGTACATGGGGCGCTCAACATAACCGCTAGACTATCTGGAGCCCCTATAATCAGAATTTTTGCCTTTATATCAATGTAGTGTAGTTCAACAAGTTCACAATATCAACTAATGAGTGGAGAAGAACAGACTGGTGGACAGAATCCATAAAGAAGCAGTGTCATCACATGCATGGGAGAGTGCCATACAGTCTTTTGTCGTGCTCTTGTCACATAAACGTCACCAGCCATGCTTGATCGCAGTATATTTTCCTGCTGCATGCTGACAACAGCTCACCCCAACTTCACATGGGAAATTGGGGGCTGACAGGAAATAAATTGTGTAAAGTCTGAGTGAGAAATTCAACTGTTTGCATTCACACATGCAGCTCACCCTGAGTTTGGTTGTAGTGTGATTTTGAAAGCCCTACCAGAGATTCTGCAACAGCACTATCGCAAAAGCCACCATAACACCAACTTCTATTTAAACCGAACAGTTCTGTTGTTCTGGTGACACAGTGTGTGATTAAACAACACAGTGTCACAGAGTTTTGTATGAAAGAGGCGTGAGCAGGAACATCACATAGACAGTGCTATCCTGTCTTCCAGCTTCACTTTAACATTTGGACATTTTGCTTTTGCCTCTGTAACCACTTTGTTATATCTCTGATGCACTCAGTGGCTCATCAACTTTACCTTTAAATCATTCTGCCGCTGTTTTCTTTATATATGCCCTTTTTACAACCATTTTGCAACAGTGTCAAAATGAAGCTCTGTTAGTCTTGCTGACTTCACTGTTACAGGGACACTGTTGAGACACCTCTGTTAAAACTCAGTGTTCATTTGAAGAAAAAAAAATGTTGACTATGTATTGGATAAGGTTCTTTTTCATGATTAAACTGAGACAACATAAACAGTAAACTTATTGATAACAAAAAAAATCTGGGTTCATAAAGAAGAGCAGATTAGTTGGCTCTGCTTGGGCTGTGGGTGCAGATCAGTTTAACACTGTCACCTTTATTAGATGCATGTATCTTAGCTTTCATTTATCTTAGTTTGGAGAAATGTTTGCTCCGTCCCGATTTCACTCGTACAGTGTGAGCTGTCCGGCCGTGCCTGACAATCAGGTCGTACAGTGTGAGCACATAAATCGCAAGGTCTGGTTGGGCGTCGTAAACGATTCAGTCGTACAGTGTGAGCTGACATGCCACCCCGACTTTTATACAATCGGGGGAAAACTGCGCAGTGTGAGCCAGGCTTGAGTAACATTCATTACCACTCGTATGTGTGTTTACTTTCCTTACCTTAATAGGTAAGCTGGGGACGGCACAGCAGCATAGAATTGGTGTGAGAGTCTATCATCAAACTAATGTCAGGAATCTGGATGTTACTAAAGTAAAAGTGTTTAGAGTGACAGAACTTGGTACCATATCTGATAGAGTAATTGAATTACTTTAGAAATAAAATATTTGACTAAAAGCAATGACTAAAATGTAAAGACCTATATTGACTTAAATCGTACCAAAATGTTTGTTTTAAACAGCTCATATTATGCCTTTTTGGGGTTCGTATATTTAATCTATGTTCCTACTTTTGTACGTTCACAATAGATAAAAGTCCGAAAAAAGTGTCTGTTTTCATGTACTGCTCCTCCTTGCTCACTCTACGCTCTGAGTCCGTCAGCTACACTCTGTTGAGCCCACACTGTTAGACCCCACGTGGGCCAAGTCTGCTCTGATTGGTCTGACGATCCACTCCGTCGTTATTGGTCAGTTGCTCAGCACGCGTCTCGGAAATTTCAACATGAGCTGCAGGGCTTGCCACAACGAGCCAATGGGTTTAGATCAGTGATCTCACACTGACAATGACGCCGCACTGACACATTTTTATCGAGAACCGAGCGTTACATGCAGCTAATGCTACAGCTAACAGGAGGACGTAGGAGAAGCTGCATTTCCGCTGACTTTGAATTTTTGCACATAGATGTGCCTAAACATGCACAGGACACTTGGAAAACACACTAAAGAGCATATAAAACCAGAAAAAGCATAATATGGGACCTTTAAGATGAGGGACTAAATAAACACTTTTAGAATCCCTGATGCTTGCTAAGATCCATAGACGTCATTAAATTGAGTAAATTAACTACGATGCTCTTTAAGTGGGTGGCGACTGACTGCAAGCCAAACGGTAACCTCCTTTGTTGAATATTAAGCCGATGTAGAAGTGCAAAATCCTGCAGTTTGTTGAGTGTTCGTTTGAGGTTGTCTGCAGAAGCAATGGAAGTGACATACAAAAGCCCATTTTTACTGCAGAAAATTAACATGTTTACAGAATGGTTCAAAAAAATATTGGTCTGATTAGGCACACACCACACAGGGGATGAATTGTTTGTTAATTTGTCCATTTTGATTTTATGAGGGATAAGCGCTAATCACAATAAGCCATGTAGCTGATCTGATTGACAGGCAGGCGCGATGTTTGATAAAACCCACCTCTGCTCCAGCTCTCTGCCTGTCGTTAGGTTGACTGAAAGCTAGGGTGAGCCAGCATTTCCAAAATGGCAACCGCCATTAATTGGACTCCAAAACCACCTTGCAGTAACAGACGGGTGACATCACTCTTGCTTCATCCATTAATATTTATAGTCTATGCTGCAAGCCAGTCAATATTGGGGAAGGGTCAGATCCAAGAGGTTGGCATGTTGTGAACAGTTATATGCCTGTATGCCTGCTCTGTTTGTTCCTGGTTAGAAAGAGTGCAAACAAGGCTGTGGAGAAACAGGTGACTAACAAAGATATATTGTGTAACAATGAATTAAATCTTTTAATGTAAAAATAGTCCACATGTGTTTTCTTTTGCTTGAAAATACAATGTTTGACATTATTGGTCAATGAGTTAAAAGTCTTGTCTGAAGTCATTCACACAAAGCACTAGTTGCTAGTCATGCTAAGTTAACATTAACACAGGCCTCTCAGCCGGCTTGATGTTACTTCAAGAGTGTCTGTTTTAATATTAGAAAATGCATGTGACACCGGGAACAGTTAGTTTCAGTAGTTTCACACAAAAACTGGACCTGTATGAAGCAGAGAAAGCAACTATACTGTTAGTTGAAAAGGTAGTGGATTGGGCCATGAAAAGTGCAAATGTTGTCGAATTAACTGGGGATCATTGAGAGTCATTGTGTACACGCACTCGTGGACATTACCTAATGTGTTCCAGTGTAATTCTCAAATGTTAAAATAAACACCAAGATAAGTCACAGGTTGACTTGTAGAGTATCAAGGTAAAGGTGTGTCATATGAAAGCCAATAGGACAATAAAGTGTATTGTATCGAAAAGGGGGATGCGTAAGAGAAAGTATTTAAAGCCTTTGTGATACATCTGAATTGATTGGTTCTAAATATTGAAAGCACACTTAATTCTGGTTTCTTACCTCAACAATTTTAGTCAATCTATAGCAAAGTTAATGAAATTCAGCAATTTTAAGAGTCCTTATCTGTATACCCAGAAATGAAAAACATCATTGTTGTGGCAATTTCTGTTGTTTTGAGCTTTTGCTGCAGCTTGCCTGGTGTCATGTTGCTTGAATTCACAGTTTATGTTCAATTTAATGAATTACTTTGCGACAGTAGTCTGTCCCAAAATAAAACGTGCTACAACATACATCCTGCTGTGCTGCTGTTTTTTTCAGCAGTTCATGATATTGAAGTAATTTGATCAAATGGTTTTAATGATGTCACTTCTTTGCATGAAATATTTACCAGATTTAACAAAGTAGCCATGAAATGTCTCCAACCACTCCTTGAATAACTCCAGCTGGGGAAGATTAGACGAATGATGAGACTCAGGACAAGAACATTCCAGTTCGTGAGTCCACCTGACTTTTTCTGCAAGTTAGTAAACAACCTCAAATACGTACTCTAAAAAGCTAAAAGACTGAATTAAAATTGTTTATTTAAATTCTCACTGAAGTAACTGTAGCTTAGTGACCCTGCTATGTCAGACAAGTTAAAAAGGAAACAGCGCGGACATTTTTGGAAAAACCCTAATGTTATTTCAGGTGTATTTAAGGTTTATATATTAACTCATCCCATTCATACACCGACAGCACCTTGGGATTAAATGTCTTGCGCATTGGACATGTGACTGCAGGAGCTGAGGATCAAACCCTCAACTTTCCAATTGAGAGAAGACAGAAACCACTGAGCCTGAGGGGGAACAAATGAGGGGGTCTGATTGATGTGATGGCAGTGTACTGTA